AAAAAAAAAAAAAAAAAATTGTGTTTACAAGAAGCCGTTTAATGTATCACTTCTTCCTTCTGTGTTCATGCTAGTAAAACATGTTTATTTCTGTTTCTGAGGGAATAAAGGTTATTTAATGAGCTGCCAACTGATAGTTAATATGCTAGTATGTATTTCCAGTCTATGTTAATGAGTTGAGTGCCCATATTAGAGTATAGAACATAGAATCATAGGACTGGAAGGGACCTCAGTCTTCTAGGCAGGACAGCTTATACCAGGGGTGTCAAACTGGCGGCCCGCGGGCCGGATATGTCATACACAGGCTATGCCCACTTCAGCTCTGTGAAAGGAAAAAACGTTGTGAAATGTCATGTGACAGCAATGTGGTGCCGCAAATTTGACACCCGTGCCTTATACCATCTTGGTTGTCCAGTCTGCTTTTGAAAACATCCACTGAAGGGGTATCCACAAATCTGGGAAGCAAACTATTCCATTGATTATTGTTCCCACTGTCAGAAAAGTTCTCCTAGAGTGCATAGAATTTCTGTCGGAACCCAGAATATGAACTTAAGGCAGAGCTTACTTTTGGCTTTTTAAACATGCAAACCCGTATGTACATAGAAATAGATTGCATTTGTCGTTATGTATTCTGTACTCTTGCACTGGAAAAATAGAATCCCTCTGATGAACTGATAATTAACGATAACAATTAACAACAATAATAAACAAGAGAATAGGAATATTGGCCTAACTGTGAAATCATTCTGTGCAACATTAAAAGAGAAAGAGAAATAAAGTTGCAATAACATTGGAGTGTATTTATACAAATGAAATGAAAAGGATGGAATTCAGCGAAAGGGAATCTGGCTTCCCCGTTGACTTTGCTTGTCAGAAGGTCGCAAAAGGTGATCACATGACCTTGGGACACAGCAATGGCCATAAATATGAACCAGTTGCCAAGCATCTGAATTTTAACCACATGATCATGGGGATGCTGCAAAGGTTATAACTGAATAACCGTCATAAACCACATTTTTCAGTGCTGTTTCATTTTTGAACTGTCACTAAATAAACTGTTGTAAGTTGAGGACTACCTGTACTTAAATATTATTGTAGTACCATGTTGTGTCTGATCTTTTTAAAAAATATTTATTGTTTTAGCATAAAAGATAAAATACAAAACAGTAAAACAAACAAAACAAAAAGCACATATTCAATCCTAACAACAACAACAACAAAGAAAAAAAAACACCAGTGTGTAATAAAACAGGAAAAAGTGGTCAATTAAATTTAACATTTAACATCTAGGATCCACTCTGGCTGTGTTGTGTTTGGTCTTTTTATAAG